GAAAACAAAAAAAATTACTTTATTCTCAATTTCTTCTCTTCCGTGTCAGTCTTTGATGCACATTCAAGAGAGTATCACGACATATGCGTAGCTTCATAAAATTAAGGTTGAAAAGCTCTAGGATTTCATCAAAACTATCTTCCAAAGATGAACAAAGGTTTTACAGGTTTAAGAGGTTTTTTAATATTGGACCGATAATGACTTATCAAAACAGGTTTCTCAAAACAAGCCCCCAACTGTCATTGGTCAGCAAACAGATTGCTCCACCCCCAATCTCCCTCTATTGGTTGAGTTAATGTTGTTATGTTGACCTGGTCAGGATACTTGAACAAACAAGCAATGTTTTAAAAATGCCACAGCGACAAAGTCCACACCACAACTAAAATAACAACACAGAGAAACAATATAACATTAGATCACATTCTTGGTGTAAACAGGGCTTTAGAAGGCAGCTCCCTATTTTGGCAGTAAGTTTTGTAACAGCACTTACATTTTTGTGCAGGTGATGAGTCAACTAAGTATAGTTCATCTGAAGTTCATAAACAAACACTGCTTTATCGTCACCATGTCGTTCACCTCTGAATCCGCTACACTCCAGGCTTCCCGCCACTTATAAAATATTCATACAGGCCGTGACACAAGAATCAGAGCACTCTGAATAGGTCGGCGACCACGTCTGGCAAAGAAGCTCATTTAAAGCTCCCGGTGTCAAATCCGCCCGAGGCATTAAGAGTTTGCAGTTGCATTAGTCACATCGTTGTGTGCGACAGTGGTACCACAATCGCAATCTCAAACAATTTATCAGCGCCTGCGGCATCTTGTCTATTGTCACTTGTTCGATAAAATAATCAGACAACAACACAATCTATATCTCACATCACTCAACAGTGGAGCAGCTAATAAAATCGGGTCTAAGATGTCTGTTTCTTTAAGCCTGTGTTTGAGTTAAAAAAAAGAGCCGTGCAGGATCTAAATGACAGATTTTGTGTTTCATGATTCATAGTAATTAAAAAGGAAAATGGTTGTGCTTCATTTTAAAGGCAGGAGCTGAGAAGCATTCTGGATGATTAACATTACAATTTTTTATCATTTTCCCATCAAGCTTAATAGGCAACATAAATTAGCAGATTTTGCCAGCTGTGAGTTCAGTGCTGACAGTGAATTCAGCAGCTGCAGTGTGCACATACTACAAAAAGTGTTTCAGTTCAATGGAAAGACAGACAGACACGTCTTGCTGAAGATGGAGGCAAAATTGTGTTCTTGAACTCGTACAAAAACTAGACTAAAGGTCAAGTTTCTGTTGCACAGGTAAAAGGCTTTCAGGTTAAACTTTGGCCTGCAGTAGTTTTTGTATGATTTCTGAGATTCAAATGTTTGAATTTTGTGTTCAGAATTTCTGAAAACTTGTCAAATTGATTTTTTTAAATCTCAGTATTTAAATCTAAATTTAAAAATGTAAAGTTTATTTTAAGTGCCCATATTATGGATTTTTTTTTTAAACTTTCATGCAGTGTGTAACACAGCTCTAAGTGAATGAAAACATCCTGCAAAGTTTTAAATCTGAAAGTGCACCGTGTATAAAGTTATTATCTCTCAAAAGAAAGAGTCGACTCTGAATCATTGAAACTAGTTGTTTTTAATGTTGACGTCAGCATGAAACACTACCATATTGCCCGACCACTTGTTGCGTGCGCAGACCCAGGAAAACTTGAACCCCCCCCTCCCTCAAACACTGACGCTGTGCTCTGCAATGTGAGGGTAAATCCTTTTTTTTTTTTTTACTGCCAAAGGACGAGGCTGTGAAGAATCAATGTTTAGAGTTCATTTTTACAGCAATACCACAGCAGTATAGTACCAATCTTGTGTTGTGTCCCCGTCATTT